CTCTTGGCAGATCATAGCCAAATGACAACCAAAAAGCACATTTCTACATGTATGGCAATTGGTTCCTCTTGCTATAACTCTCAATTTGACTGATCAATTTGTTGACTCTTTGTGACCCCATTTGGGGTTTTCTTGGCAAAGATACTGGAATGGTTTGTCATTTCCTTCTCCGGCTCATTTTACAGATGAGGCAAATAGGGTTAGGTGACATGCCCAGGGTCACACAGCTAGTCAATGTCTGAGGCAGGATTCGAACTCAGATCTTTCTGGCTTCCTCACTCCAGGTCTGTGCTCTATCCACTGTACCACCTAGTTGCCCCAAATGATGGGTTAGAGACTATGAAGATGGCCATTCCATGAAGGATAAAGATCATGCTGAGGAATTTCACTGAAATTTACAATAAGAATGGCTTGGGAGACCTCTCTATCACAACTGTTCTAGAAAACAACTTACATTTGTCTACTATATAAATTATTTCTTTCCCCTTCAGATTATCCCCTCTTCAATAACTTAACTATTTCTGTTGAGGGAACCCTCAACCTTCCAGACTCCTAAGTTCATAACATTAGCATTACCCTCCACTTCTCAATCTCCCCCATATATTTTTTTAGTGGCCAAATCTTAATTGTTCTTCCTCTATAGCATCTCTATAACTGGTCCCTTCTGTTCACTCACATAGCTCCAACCTTAGTTCAGGTCTTCATCATCTCTCATCTAGATTATTACAAGACTTGGTTATTGCAAGATATCTGCCTCAAATTTGCCCCCTCTCCCATTCATCCTATTTACTGCTGCCAAAGTAATTTTCCTTAAATGCTGATCTAAACTTGTGGCTCTTGACTCTGATTGTCTGACTCCTCCCAGAATCTCAATTTTAAGAAGGATTCTCAGGCCAAACATGGCTTCATTCCTCTTCAAGTTGCATCCTTGACTCAGGATTTTCTCTATCATATCCCTACCATCACCTCTCCTTCCCTATCTCACTTTTATGTGTTGTCTTCCCTTATTAAGAGGAAGTTAGATGGTGCAGTGGATAGCGAGGAAGTCAGAAGTCAGAAAGACCTGAGTTCAAATATGGCCTCAGACACTTAGCCATCATGTCACCCAGGGCAAGTCACTTTACCCTGTTTGACTCAATTTCTTCTTCTATAAAATGAGCTGGAGGAGATGGCAAATCACTCTAGTATCTTTGCCAAGAAAACCCCAAATGGGATCACAGAGAGTCAGACCTGACTGAAAAAAAACAACTGATTCCTTTACTAAAAGATACATTCTCTGAGGGTAGGAACTGTTTTTCTTTTTGATTGTATTGGCACAGTGCTTGGCACATCATGAGCACTGATAAATGCTTGTTGATTTGACTTAACTTCACTTTGTTCCTCTCCAGTCAGCTCCCAGGTTACTGAGACCCCTATCTGGGAAGTTCAGGTAGGAAGAGCAACCAGTGAAGTTCTTTCTTTTTGCTTTTCTTCTGACCCCAGTCATCCAATATGGCTTTTCCTACTCTATGGATGAGTTAGGAGTCACCAACTACAAGCCTTCCAGTGAGATGAAGGACCACAAGGCCTTATCATGTATACTGCCACTGTATCCTAAAGTCCTCTGGATCTTATCATCTCACCTTCATCTAATTCCTTTCTATGTCATCTCCCCTTATTAGAATGTGACATGTTTGAGGGCAAGAATTATCTGTTATTTTTTTTTCTATTTGTATCCTCAGAGCTTAGAGCATCACTTATTAGATGCTCATTCATTCATTCATTCATTCTGTTTTTAACCTATTCAGAAACTAAAATGCTATTTAGAAAATCTTTAATTATTGTGGGCTATTAGATTTTCTTAGGGCAGCTACAGTGCAGACCTGAGTTCAAATCTAACCTCAAACATACTTGCTAACTGTGGGACCCTGGGCAAGTCATTTAACTCTGTTTGCTTCAGTTTTCTCATCTGTAAAATGAGCTGGACAAGGAAATGTCAAACCACTATAGTATCTTTGACAAGAAAACCCCAAATGGGATCCCTAAGAGTTGGGTACAAATGAACAACAACAAATATTTCCTTATTTAATCAAGATTTTACAATTGTGTTAAGTGTAGCATGGTGTAGTGGATTGGGCACTGAGCTCAAAGTCAGGAAAATCTGGTTCAAATCTGGCCTCAGGCACTTACTGGTTTTATGACTCTTAGCAAGTCATTTAACTTCTCTAAGCTTCTATATCTTCAACATGTAAATTGAGAGTATTGGAGTAATAGTCTCCCAGTCTCCAATTCAACAGAGGTGGTGGAGACAAAAGGAGGTTAAAGTACTCATTTAGAATTATAGCTGGGCAGGGTTATAACCTTCTGCCCGGGTGGGTCATACAGAACCTCCAGAATATAAAGCATCTGGGAATCAAATTGACTGAGTTCAGCCAAAAGTTAACTTTCCTGCAGTTCCCTGTATTTCAACTCTAGTCTTTGCTGAATTTCCTTTCAACATTACGGTATCTCAGCCCTCTCTCTTTAAAACTCAGTAAACTTTTGAATTGCATCTTCTCCTCCAGAAGGTCTCTCTGTCAGTTTCAGTCTCTTTGACTCTGCTAGCTCATTGTTTCAGTCTCTCTGACTCTACCAATTCATTCCACTATCCATATTTCTGTGTCAGTCTGATACTCTCTTTCTCCTCTGTCTCCTTCTCTATCTCTGAGTTGCTCTGTTTGTCTCAGTCTGTCTTTTTGTGATAACAGAAATAAAGCAAGTAGAGTTAAAATTAGTAGGGAGTTAATTGGATTATAATCTTTGTAGCTTGTCTCTCTGATAATGGTCTCCTATCCAAGATATATAAGAAATCAATTCAAACTTATAAGAATAAGAGCCATTTCCCAATTGACAATGGTCATTGGAATAAATAGTTCTGAAAGGAGGACACTTGAGCTTTTCAACATATGTCAACAGATATTAGAAAAATGCCCCAAATCACAAATAATTGAAGAAATGCAACTTACAGCAACACTGAGCTTCCATATCATACCCATAATAATGTCATAGAGGAGCAAAAAAAAAAAAAAAAAGGAAAAGGAAAAGGAAAAATGCAAATACTGGAGAGGTTGTGGGAAAGCAGGTCCATTAGTGTGTTGTTATTGAAGATATGAATTTGTATAGCCATTCTGAAAAGTAATTTGGAACTATGCCCAAGATGTCACTAAAGTGTACATACTCTTTCACTCAGGTATACATTTTTTAAGCCTATGCTCCAAGGAGATAAAAAAAAAAAGGAAAATGACCAATTTATAAAAAATTCTCATAGCATCTCTCTTTTTAGGGTCAAAAAATTGGAAAGTAAAAGAAGGCCCATGAATTGGGAAATGATCGAGTAAATTATGGTATATAAATGTAATAAAAATACCATTGTGCTATGGAGATGACAAAAGAAATGGGTTCAGAGATACCTAGGACAGCTTCTGTGAATTAATACAGAGTTAAGTGAGCAGGGCCAGGAGAATAACTTCTACAATAACAACAAAATATAGATAAACAACTTTCAAAGACTTAATAGCTCTGTTTAATCAAATGAACATCTAAGATTGTAGAGGTCTGATAATGATCTATGATACCCACCTCCTGACATGGAAGTAATAGATTCAAGATGCCAAATGAAAAATACATTTTCAGACATGACCAAGGTGAGAATTTGTTTTACTTGACTGCATATTTGTTATGAAGGTTAGATTTTTCTTTCTTTTTTTCTTTCTTTTATTTTAAACTGGGGGTGGGATGGAGTGGGAAGGAGATAAAATAATACTTGTCATTTGAAAAATAAATTAAATGGAAAAATAAATTCAGTTTGATTTTTGGTTAGCTTTGCTAACCTTAATACGGTTCATTTCATCAAAGAAGATAAAAAAGTTCTAAAGGTAAAATTGTGCCCTGGAGGTGTTTCCAAGTAAACAACAGAAACATTTATACTGTGTTAATATTTAAATGGCTTCCATTAAAACCCTAAAAAATAGCATTTCTCTAACTTTAAATTATAGGAGGGCTGCATGTTAGCATGGAAGACTACAATTTATTAATCTTCCTGTCATTTTAAGATTCCATTACAATTGCATTATAATTATGGTGATTATGCTTCAAGATTTGATTCTAATCCAGATTTTATCTCCAAGTTAATTGTGCTGTTTCAGATTTCGAATCACAACATCAAGGTTAAAATAATTTGTTGTAGTGAAATTCACTAAAATGAACAAACATGATTAAACAGGAAGTTTCTCAACATTACTCAAACTTGTCAAAAATAAAAATACCCGCTCCTTTTTCTTCACATTCCGGGACAACATATGAGGGAATTAGATTAAATGGTCAAATTTTCAAATAAAGAGGAGAATTGAGTTTACATACTATGCATACCAACAACCATGATTTTTTTTTCCTGGCAAATTCTGGAATATCTCACTAAAGAGGAAGTTCTTGAAAATCCAAAAAAGCAGTGATCATGCAGAGCCATTGTAGCTTCAACTTGAACAAATCTTGCCAGACTAACTTAATTTCTTTTTCTCACAGGGTTATTAGAACAGTTGGTTGAGCAACTTCTCTAGGAGTTAAACTGGATTTTTACCAAGCATTTGTTAAAGGTCTCTTACTATTCTTTCTGAAAAGACAGAAAGAGGAAGGCTGTGCTATAATACTATTAAGTGGATTTAGGACGGTTGAATAGACAAATAAAACAAGTAGCGACTTGATGGTTTTATGTCATCTTGGAAGAAATAAAAGGCTCCAGAGATCTTGGCTTGGCCCTAGACTCTTTAATAATTTCATAAATAACTTGGATAATGGCATAGAAATCAAAGACACATATTAAATTTTCCAGTGACACAGGGGTGAATACATTAGATGATGGAAGAGGAAATAAAATCATTTTGCTTAGAGAAAGAACAGGTAGTCAATAGTGTGAAAAGCATGAGAAGGATGAAGGAGGATAATAACTGAAAAAGGTACATTCAGTTAGATAATTAAGAGGTTACCTGTTACTGTAGGGAGGACAGTTTTTGCAGATTTTTCCAGGCGCAGAAACATGAACTCAAGTTCTAGAAGAGTGTGAGTACTGAGGAAGTAGGAGTGCCCTGTGCAGTCAACCTTCTCAAGAAATCAACATGAGGTGTCAGAAGGCACAGTAGCTGAGTTGTCACAGAAGGCTCAAATGACTTGGAAGACCTAAACTTAATTTTAGGCAGCTGGAAAGAAGTCAGTGGAGAAGTCACTAAAGTTGAGAAAAAGATGAATGTAGGAACAAGGTTTACAAGAATGAAAGGGGAAATGGTATGTATCATGGGTACAAGCAGAGAGAGTTTGTATTGAGGAGTCATGAGAGATTTTCTTTTGTTGAAGGAAAAAGGAGATGAAGTTGCTAAAAATGAGGAATTAAGGAAACTGAGATTGTATTTTCAATTTGACAAACATTATTAACACCTCCTATGTGTAAAGAATCATGTTGAGTGACCTCATTCTTCCCGGTAAAGTGGGATTGCAGGTTATATACTTCTAAGTCAGATGAATTTTAGTGTGTATAAAGTGGATTTTTTGTTATTCTTTCTCAGAGTTTTCTTCCCAAGATCCATAGTCATAACAATCTCTACTTCCCAGGTGTTAGATATAAGTTCTCATGATCGTGGTTCAAAGCAGTTTCTACCACACTTGCGCAGCAGATATAGGGGTGAAATGATGTAAAATTGTGAGGCTATTGCTGGCAATATGCCTTCTTTGTCTGTTACCCTATAAAGCAGGTGGGCACTGGTCAGTGACTGGAGACCCCCATGGGGTGAATGTGCGGGATGAATGCTGTGCATGCCTTGATCAGCCCCCATAAATACTGTATGTTTGCTTCAACCTGCCCTCATTTAGGTTTGAGAGAATTTAGGTGAGTGCATAAGTTGTGCTGGTTTTGACTGACCCCATTGAGAGGAGGGGTAGTTGCTACCCCTTATTATCAGCAAACTCCAATTGAGAAGACTAGATTAGAATAAAGTAAGCTTATTTAACCCCTTATTATGACTCCATTCTTGTCTTCCTGTCTGACTGGATCAAAAGTGAACCTGCTAGTGAGAGATGTGCTAGAAGCCCACCTGTGTCTCTTTCCTAAGAAATGACATAGTCGGTGTGTTTATTTGTCCAACAGTACTGCACTCTTGAAAGGTACAGTGGGTGGTTAATGAAAAAAAGAGAAAGAAAAGTTTTGGAATAGTCACTCTAGACAATTAGATAAGTAATAAGATTTCTTTATATCACTCTCCTAATCAAAAATCTTATGAGGCTCTCTCACTAATTATAGACCAAAGTGTAAATTCATTCTTATCATATAGCACAACTCATTTTTCTTTGAATATACACTGTAATTTCCCACCCCCATATGTTTGTTCATGCTGTTTCCTCTATCTTCAATTACCTTTCCTACCTTCACCTATCAATATTCTATATACTCTTCAAGGCCTAGTCCAAATGCTGTAAATAATATGCAATAAATAAACAAATGCTACCTACAACATAAATTCTTCCCTGAGGCGTCTCAACTTAAAGTAATCTCTTTCATTTTCCTATAACACTTTAAAAATATTCGTGTGCATGTGTTATCTGTCCCTTGTGTCTCCCTTCCCCCCAAAACACACACACACACACACACACACACACACGAACAAAAGTCAACTTCTCAAAGTAGGAACCATGACTCATCTTTGTATCTACTATGGCGGTGGTGCCAAATTCAAATAGAAATGATACCTGTTAGCCAAATGTTGACTTAGAAAGTCACAATGTAACATTATCTCTATTGTATTGTATTTTTAATTCATTTTATTAAACATTTCCCAATTACATTTTAATCTGGTTTGGGCAGCACTAGGGAGTTTTGTGGGCCACTTGCTGCCCCTGGAGGGCTCTGAGTTTGACATCCTTGCACTACAGCACCTGGCACCATGCCTTGAACATAATACGGAAGTAGTAAATATTCATGGTTGTTGTTATACAGGACAATTATAGCAATGGGACAGATGCTGAAGTAGAAGACCTCTATGATCCTTGCCAATGCTAAATCTATATATGTCAATACATTTCCCTGAAACATTTATCAAAAAAAAATAAGAAAGCTATTAAAAAGGTCTGAGGGGAGAGAATAATAATACCTCCACTTATCTACCACTTTATAGTTTCTAAAGCATTATTTCATCTAGTCCTCTCAATAACCCTGGAAAGTCAGTGGTTCCAACAGCATTATCCCTATATTCTACAAGAGGAACCTGAAAGTCGGTTATATCACTTACAGAAGGTCACACACTGGATAAAAAACAGAGCCTAGATTCATACTTGGATCTTTGTCTCCAAATCCAGTACTCTTTTTCCTATGCCATACTGTCTTCATTTATTCCCTTCACAAACAAACCACCTTTTTTGGTAAAACGTATATTCCCAATGAGAGAGTAGGTGGCGCAATGAATAGAACACTGGGATTGGAATCAGGAAGACTCATTTTCAGTTGAAATCCAGTCTTAGACACTTACTAGCTGTGTGACCCTGGGCAAGTCACTTAACCCTGTTTGCCTCAGTTCCTCATCTGTAAAATGAGCTGGAGATGGAAATGACAAACCACTCCAGTATCCTTGCCAAGAAAACTCCAAATGGGGTCATGAAGTTGTCCAAAACAACTCAGCAACTACAAAAATACTTCCAATATGGTGAATGTGATTGTGAAAGAAGATGCAAAATGAGTTTCTTCCTTGCCTTTTCTCTGTCTTCCTTTTTTCTTAGAATAGCTCCATTGGCCTCCATCTCTTTTCTTTCAAAAACAACAACAACAACAACAACAACAAAACAACAAATAAACCAGATCTTAATTCCAATAAGGTCTCTCTTTCTTTGAAAAGAAAGCAGTGTCTTTGTTGGAAATACACTCCCAGAAAAGCAGAAAGAGGACAGATAATCTCAATGGCTAAGGTAACAAACAGTCAACAAAAAGAGAAAATGCAGAGCATTAAATCACTCTAGGTGGCTCTGACAAATAAGCAATAATTAAATTCACATCTCCTCTTGTTTCTTTATTGGGAAGATCTGCATTGTAAATAATAATTAACAAGAGGAGGGGAAAACAAATGAACAAATAACTTTGTTAGTCCTGAGTGCTAAAAAATCATTGAGGCACAATCTCCACTACAGATTGATGTCATATTAGGAAAAAGACAGGGGAATTACAGATTCTGTCTTTGGGAGTTCTGCAGGATCCTGTTCGTCTTGCCTTAGTTTAGTAAAAAATCAGTAACATCTAATTTTGGTCAACTTTGCCTTGTTATATTAATTTCCTCAGAGAGATAAACAGGTGCTACAAAAGCAATATCCTGTGAGGCAACCCTACTTTTTTTTTTAACCTAAACTAACATGTTCAATTTAATCATCTTTTTTTCATTATTGTAGCTCTCTAGACATTTAAAGTCCGTAGCTCTGTTTTAGGTTAAAGATTTGAATGCAGAAAAGCATCACATCAATTGATGAATGAGGTTACAAAATCAACTTTCATTTCAGTTAATTAAAAGTAAGGTTGCATAATAATGGAGACGATGAGTTATATAAGGATAACAATTAGACCTGTCATTTTGTTGGTTGAGGTACTTTCCAGGTGAAGAAACTCCCTCTGCTAATGTAGGGCAGTGTCTTCTCTATAATTTAGAGTCTTAAAGAATTGTATAGAGCTTTAAGAAGTTAAATGACTTAACCAGGTTCACAAAGCCATTATGTGACAAAGACAGGACTCAAATCCAGGCCTTCCTGATTTTGAGATCAACTCTCTATCCACTTTATCTCACTGCCTTTCATTGTGTTTTATGTAACATGTAATTTCATTTCTTTTTATTTTATTTTTTCTCAATTATATGTAAATTTAATTTTTTTTTAAATTTTAGTTTCACATTTCTCTCTTTCCCACCATCTACTTCCCCCTCCTTGAGAAGGAAAGCAATTTGATATAGATTATACATGTGCATTCATGAAAACATTTCCATATTAGTCATTTTGCAAAAGAAAATGCAGACCTTCCTCCACTCTCCCCCCCAAGAAAGAAAAAATAAAAAAAAAAACTTTAAAAAAAGAATACTTCAATCTATATTCAGACTTCATCAGTTCTTTTTTTTCTAGAAGTGGATAGTAATTTTTTATCATAAGTCCTTCATAATTACCTTGGATCATTATATTGCTGAGAAGAGCTAAGCCATTCATATTTGGTCATTGTGTAGAATATTGCTTTTACCATGTGCACTGTTCTCCTGATTCTGCTCATTTCACTGGGTATCATTTCATTTAAGCCTTCCCAGGTTTTTTCTGAAAGCATTTTCTGAAATGACCTGGTGGTCATTACTTTTCTTTTTTTTTTTTGGTGGTCATTTCTTAGACCCCAATAGTATTCTATCCCAATCATATACCATAACTTGTTCAGCCATTCCTCAATTTATAGGCATTGTCTCAATTTCCAATTCTTTGACACCAGAAAAAGAGCTGCTATTTCTGTACATACATTTCTGTACATATAAGTCCTTTTCCTTTTCCTTTGCTCTCTTTGGGACACAAAACTAGCAGTGGTGCTACTGAGTCAAAGGGTATGCACTGTTTTATAGCCCTTTGGGAATAGTTCTAAATTGATCTCCAGCATGGTTGGATTAATTCACAACTCTACCAACACTGTATTAGTGTCCCTATTTTTCCACATCTCCTCCAACACTTGTCATTTATCTTTTTAGTTATATTACCCAGTCAGATAGTTGCGAGGTGGTTGCTTTAATTCAGAGTTGTTTTAATTGAAATTTCTCCAATCAACAATGATTTAGAACATTTTTTTCATGGCTATAGATAGCTCTGATTTCTTATTTTTAAAATGGCCTGATCATATCCTTTGACCATTTATCAACTGAGAAATGACCTGTATTCTTATAAGCTTGACTCTGTTCTCTATATATTTGAGAAATGAGGCCTTTATCAGAAAAACTTGCTATAAATTTTTCCCAGTTTCCTGATTTCCTTCTAATTTTTACTGCATTGATTTTGTTCAAAATCTTTTTAATTTAATGTAATCAAAATTATCAATTTTATATCCTGTAATACTCTCTATCTCTTGTCTGGTCATAAATTCTTCACTTATCCATAGATCCGACAGGTAAAATTTCCCATTCTCTCCTAATTTGCTAATGATGTCTAAATTATGAACTGATTTTGACCTTATTTCAGTATACTCTGTGAGTGTACTCTATACTTATACTTATATACTTATACTTAGTTTCTGCCAAACTGCTTTC